TTGTATTTTTTGATATTTTTTGCTTTTCGAGCCTAAATAGGTAGCCAAGATAATGCCTAAAAATAAGGTTCTAAATTCTGAAGTTTACATGATCCTCTCGTGTGCACCCTTAAAAATCTTAAAAAATTACGAATATTTTTTATCCACATGATCACAGTGAGGAGCCTTAAATCGATGTTGAAAATTCAGAGGTAGGGCAACGATAGGTCAAAAAGGCTTCTCTGATAGATTTCCTTGCCTTTTGGATATGCTATAATATATAGCCTAGCATGATAGGATATGATGTCAAAAGTTAGAACATAACTTAGGATCTTGAGAAAAATGAAAAACAAAAATTACATAAAAAAGAAAAATTTTATCTAATTTGTTTTTTTGGACCGAATAAGTAATTTTATTGAATTTCAATACGACACATAGATTTTATTATTAGTAATAAATATAATGGTTTACTATTAACAAGGAACCTAAACTAATGAAAATTTGATTTCAAATATTGTATATGATTATCATAGATTACCAAAATATATTGCTATTTATGAGGATATAATATTGATTATTAGTAAATCGTATAAATTTAATAAATATACCATGAATATTGAATGAATTTCTTGATTCAGAGGGGTAAAACGCGCTTTTATATGATTTAGACAGAGAATTTATGAGATGTAAATAACACAATAAAGGTTTATATTGAATATTTTCTAAAAATAAATCGAAATTATAAAAAACAATACATTTATTCATTGAAACTACTTGGACAAATATGAAACAAGCATTCAGGCAATACTTTTGAGACTTCAACGCATCTGATAATTTTTATATAACTTCACCTCTTATGCTTAGAGTGGAGGTATTGAGATCGTATAAGTATAGATGAGCTCACATTCAGATATGATGTGTGAACTTCTGTTTTCACTGCAATTTTGAATCAGAATAAACTCAAAACAAGAATAAAATGATATACTCACTCTCTAAATGTGTTCGAGATTTAAAGTTGTATGAATAAAACGATTCATCTTTCGAAGCCTCCCATTTAATGAGAGACTTCGAAAGATGAATGTATTCATGTAGATGAAATACTATATATGACCATGTGTGATACTAAAGATATCAAAATGTTCATTTTTAAGTGCAATAGAAGGGTTATCTCTCGTAAAATCTCAATTTAAGGAAGATTTAGAAAGAACTCCTTTCCTAAGTAGATAGTGTGTGGTTTCTGTCTTTTGGTTGATCAGGAACTATGAAATTAAGTCGGACAGAAAGAAGTTCTTTCCAAAACAGACTCCAAATGAGTTGTTCGAAAAGAACTTCCTTCTGTATATGGATAATTGTAGTTACCGCACTGAAGTATGTGATTGTGATGATGGAGTTCTCGATAAATCTAAAATCGGATTAAGATTAATTGAAAACTCAAGTAATTCTTTGAAATCTTGTGTTGTCTGGCACTATAATAACCAAAGAATGAGAATATTATGTTGAATGATGAGTACGTGTGCTCGGCATTCGCCGAGCGAATTGAGTTTAACGTATTATGAAAAGTGACAAATTTGGGCTTTTTTCCTAGGGTTATGATCTCTTCCTTTCTGCTCAATACGACAGAAATGAAAGAATGAATTTGTACTCCCTAATTGATTACTACAATCTGTATCTATCTTTAACATAGAATTAGCTGCATTGTGATTTATACTCCAGAATTATTCAATTTAAGATCAACCTCGTAAATTTTAATCATATTGCACCAATACTCCTACGTTGAGATAAGAACATGATTATACATACCAAAGCCCCATATTAAAAATCAAAATTTAGCACCTCCATTATGCAACCACATTATTCGTCGCAAATAAGTATATTTACGCATATTATGATGCATATTCACACAACTCGTATACATGAAAAGTTATTAAAATCAGACAAAATTATTGCAATAAGGAAAAAAAAACAACTTTATTATATATGTTAGTAATGAATTACAAATATTTCTACAAAGAATGCTCAATACTTCATATAATCTTCGAATATTTCTTATTACAAGTTAATACATTTTGACTCGAACATGATAAACAAAAGCTGACACGCTGATTACTACATTTATGAAAATATAGTACGTTTCCATTCATCTGTTTACTTGTTTTTGTTGGAATAAAATCATTTTTTTTTTCTTTCATGAAATAAGAATTTTGCTGCGAAAGCAATATCTCTAACAATAATTAATACATTACGTCAACTCTGGAATGAGTATTTATCAAATATGATATCAAAATCAAAAATTAGTTGTTTTTTATGAGTAAAAACGATGTAAATTGATTATTTGACTAATTATCAAATACTTTGATTTTCCAAATTTTTTTCGAAATTAATTTTTTCATGTGAAAATTCAAATTGTTTAATTTCATTTTTGAAATTTTGAATTTTTTTTGGAATTTTGAGTTGATCAATTCAGCAGAATTGATAATGCTATTGCTTTAGGGCATACCACAAGGTGATGAATAAAAGGTGAACATTAACAAATTATTTTAAATCACAAATATCATCCTCATCAACTTTAATTCTAAAAAGAACTGTACTGAATTATGAAAATGCATGATTTACATTATTAAAATCTTTGAATGAAAATAGTACAAGATAAGTTTTTATTCATTTTTACCCAGATTTGCCTTACTTTTACCACCTCTCTAAAGCTGGGGACACCGCCTATCGTTTGGAGTAGCTATTAAATAGAACCACCAAGGGTATTTTTCGAACTGCCGGTGTAGTGGAAACATCCGACAGAATGATTCATTATGCCAAGGTTTGATTCCCATTTAGCCAATTTTTTTCTTTTTTGGATCATGAATTTTTTTTTGGGTCACTATAAGATTTGTTTCATGTTCTAAATCTGCTGCATATGTAATCTATTTTTATTTACCTATTTTTTAAAAATCTATTGGATTGCCAAATTTGAATATATTTAAAATCATAAAAATCCAAAAAAACTATAAATATATGTTTTATGCATAGTGCCGATACTCAAATATCAGATTACTTAGATCCATGAATAATATCCGAATTTTTTTTCTTAAAATTAAACTTCAAAACTTCTTGCAATCTTATTCTTAATCAATTGTAAATTTTTAAAACCATTTTTAAAAATAATTTTGCGTAAATTTTATTCTCATGTTGTTTTAATCGAAAATTGATACATTTTCAAAAAAATAATATTGACTTATGAAATTCATTTTTAAGGTGAAATAGTATTGTTTTTATTAAAGTATATGAATAATATATAAAAAATTAATGATAATATAAGCAGATTTTTAGTTTACAAAACAAATATGAGCAATGCAATTTCAAACTTTTGCTGGCAATTTCGATATTGCTCAAGTTTGTAGTATTTGTGATACCTATAACATCGGCTTAATCAAAATTCGATTTTTCTTATGAGTTATTGAGAAAATTTGATTGCAATGAGAAGGATTTCGACGTTTTTGATAAACTAAGAGCTGAGCTTTAGGGGTTCAGTTCATTTATGGCTGTAGTTTGATGCGTAGATCTCTTTTTTATTGTAAATTCTTTCAGCATGGAGATCGAGAATGAATCTTTTGAGAACTTTATGAGTTTTTACACCCGTAAAGAGGTCCTTCGAGGAAAGATAGTCCAGACTACATGAAGATGTGGGTTAACCAAAAAAATCCGATGGTTTCCCCATATTCATGTAGATCTTCGAAAAAATGAGCACCAAAAAAGCCAAAAAAATAGGCTTTTTATTGGATTTGTACACTAGATCAATAATCTATTTAGGATCTGACACTCTTTTTAGCCAGAGATATGAGGTCCTTTCTAGGAAAACGATCTATTCATCCATAAAAAAAATGAATTATCGTTTTCCCCAGAAATTACATGGGGAGTGGTAAAAGTAAGGAAAATCTGGGTAATTAGATTTAAACGAAAAACTACTCCATATTAAAATTTAAGTCGAGAAATTGTATTTTGTTCTTATTTGTTAGCATTTTGTAGACATTCTAATCTTGAATTAATTTGTTACATGATATTATTAACAAATTTAACTGAAAAAATATGTTAATATGGAATAAACCATGATTATATAAGCTATCAATGCTATATATACATATGTAAAAGATTCATATTAACTCAATTAACAAAAATGATAGATTTTCATAAAGGTTCAATCTAGGTTCGTCCGAAAATTTTGATTTTTATATAGAAGACATAGTTTCATATACATAATTAAATTTTCAAACAAATTTGATCATACCATTTATTAAGCAGGATAGTATATTAATTACTATCAGTATAAAAATATAAAAATGATTATATTTAATTATTGCATAATTTAGTCAAAGAGTTATAAGCCTCAAGTGATCGTTATCACCTTCAATGCACATATACTTTATTGATTCATAGATATTTAATCTATGTTTGACATGTTGTTGTCGTCATTCGTTTTGTTCCCATTCTTCCTAAGTTAGAATTAGAGAATACACCATCCACATCATCTAATTTGGTCCTCAGCGATAGATTGGTTCATTTTGGAAGAGTCCCATCAGACAGTTTTCGAGCACCAAATATCAAATTTTAATGTATACAAATCTTTAGTGATTTATCTCTTTTATGATGAGTAAAAGGTTTCTGCTCATCAACATTTGATTTCCGACATATATGATTTCTAATTGCAATTATTTACTTTCTTTTTATAATCTAACTCTGTGACTCATACCATAAATTAATTATTGGAAAGTGTCAATATGTTTGGCACAACGCATGGCGGAAGATACCAAACCATGCAGGGAATATGATACGTTTAAGATTTCCGAACTTTTTTTCCAAAAATTTTCTATCGTTGCCCTACCTCTGAAAATTCAATAGCTCTCAATTTTCTAGCTTTCGGATCGGAATCAAAAGTTCAAATTATCACTTATGGACTAAAAAGATGATGTATTTTTGTGAATCTTATTAACCGAAATAATCGATTTGCCAATCTGACAACAATCACAAAAGAAATGTTTTTTGTCCTTAGCTCTCTTATTAGATCTGCTCCAACATATACTGTTGATGGTAAAACATTGACCATTAACGGTGATGGCATAATCGAGCAAAGTGATGTCCAGAAAAACATTCCCGCAGATTGCGAAAAAGTTATCATTCAAGGTGATATTTCCGAAATCGGAAATTATGCCTTCAACAGCTCAAACTCTCTTGTTACAGTCGAAATTACCGCCCCAATTATCAGAATTGGAAACGGTTCTTTCTTCCACTGTAATAAGTTAGTCAATTTCACCAACCCACCAACATGCCAATATGTTGGCGACCAGGCATTCAGATTTTGCTACTCATTAGTCACCTTCACATCCACAAAAACAACATATTACTACGGTAAATACTGTTTTGATTCAGATGAAGCCCTCCAAAGGTTCGATGTCTTCGAACATCCAGATGCAAAAGACCCAACAGAAACCGTTCGGATCGGCTACAATTGCTTCAATGGCTGCAAGCATTTGATCGAATTATTCTTACCACCTACCCTCACAGAAATTGGCGACAGGGCCTTCTACAACTGCGAAGGTATCGTTAACGCCTCAATTCCTCTTACAATTAAGAAGATTGGGGAGTTTGCATTCTTCAATTGCAAAGGACTTATATATCTCGAGTTCCCAGCCGTCGCGGAAATGGGAAAGGATGCTTTCGCTTCATGTGAGCGCCTTACAAACATCTCATTTGGCGCAAGCTTGACAGTGTTAGAACAATACGTCTTTTCAGACTGCCCGAACCTCCAGTATGTCGATGGAATCAAAAATGTTAACCAGATCAAAGAAGGTGTCTTCAAAGACTGTGATGCTTTGACAGATTTCATTGTTCCAGATGGAGTTTCAGTTATCTCAGGCAAATCATTCACAAAGTCCGCTATTACCACAATTACATTTCCACCATCTATAAAAATGATTAGCGCAAACGCTTTCTCATCTTGCGGCAAATTACAAACAATCAAGTTCTCCGGTGACAACAACATCGAAAACATTGCTGACTTTGCATTCAAAGACTGTGTTAACCTTACATCATTTGATTTCGGATCTAAACTTACTAAGATCGGAAAATTAGCTTTTACAAACACAGCTTTGAAGTCAGTTACCATTGCAGCAAGTGTTACATCAATTGATTCCACAGCATTCTCAGATATCAGCACTATTTCTGAGATCAAAGTTGACGCAAGCAATCAATATTACGTCAATGGTGCCTGTGGAGCTGTTTACAGCAAAGACAAGACTTCACTCTGCTGGTTCATCCCAACATACACTGGAGAATTCAAGTACGAACAAGAGTTGACAACAATCAAGCAATACGCATTCTCTGGTGCAACAATTTCAGAAGTTTCCATTCCAGAGTCAGTTACAACAATTGAAAAAGATGCATTTGCATCATCTTTGATCCAAACAATCAAAGTTCCAGGCAAATTCAAAGAAATTCCAGAATACTTCGCTATCAAGTCTGAAAACTTAGTCAACTTAGTTCTTAACGAAGGAATCACAACAATTGGAAACAGCTCATTTGCTGATTGCACAAAATTAGTTGAAGTTAAACTTCCAAATTCATTGGAGAAACTTTCTCATTATTCATTCAGAGGCTGCACATCTCTCAAGGAAATCAACTTAGAGAATGTTAGTAGATTAGGATTATCAGTTTTCGGTGGATGCACTTCATTAGAGAGAGTCAGTATTCCATCTGCAATCAGAAGATTATCTAACTATTTGTTCAGTGGATGCACATCACTTTATGAAGTCACATTAAATGATATGATCACATCAATTGGAGCTGGATGCTTCCAACAATGCACTGCACTTAAGAGTATCACATTACCAAAGTCTCTTAAGAGAATTAACAAACAAGCATTCACTCAGTCTTCAATCCAGAACTTGATCATTCCAGAAAATGTTTCTAGAATTGTTGGTGAAGCTTTCTTGAACATGCCAGAGTTGGAAACAATTGTTTTCAATGGAGTTATCAACTCAATTGAAGAATTCCCATTCGCTTACTGTCCTAAATTACACGCCATCACATTCTTTAACAATATCCAAAATGTCTCAGATTACTTCCTTGGTGATGACGTCGAAGCATTAAGAGATTTCAGATATTGCGGCACTCAAGAAGTCAAGGGTGATTTCTTAAACAAGTACGCTGGAACACAAGGTTTCGTTGCTTCTGTTGGTGATTACTACAAACACGGAACAATCGGAGGAATCACTGCACACGTAACAACACTTTGCCATGCTCCATACGTTCCAACACCTGCTCCAACACAGGAACCAACTGCAACTCCAAAACCAGACAACCATAAGAAGAATCTCATACTAATCTTGTCATTAGTAATAATCGGAACAATCATCCTCACTGCTCTGATTGTCACATTCGTTGTCAGATGCGTAATGAAGAAGACTGGATGGAAGAAGAATGAGACATTAACAGAGTCCCTTCTTACACAAACAGTATAAAAAAATTTTTCTTTAGTTTTAAAATAAATAAATCATAATTTCTAAATATACTAGATTTTAATAAGTCATTTCAAACAAATTTTGAAAAAAAATTTAAATCCAATTTCATAAACTTCGCCTCAAATTCAATTTTTTTCAGTAAAATTATCTTAGTTTTCTTGGGGAATGTATTCAATGAAGACTTAAATCATGAAAATGAATTTAATATTTATGACCCCAACATTATTAAGTACTTTGGCCAAATTAAATGACTCTAATGCAACATTTGCCGCTTATTTTGATTGAATTTTGTCTAACTGTAGTAAAACCTCAAAAAATACTTTGCAATGATTTCGAATTTCTTCAAAATCCAGATTTATCATTCATTTGTACCTATAAATAGTAGAACTAAGATAGTTCCCTATGCAGATTTGCCAAAAATCAATGCAAATTCGGGTTCAAGGGTATTCTTTCATAAAATTTTGCTCTTCCGGACATGACTTTTAAGAATTATGATAGAATTTTATTGAAATCATGAATAGTTGGTTTAGAATTGTTTATTTAGAATGTAAAACTTTTTCAAATGCTAATCGTGGGGATCCATCATATTTCACTTCTCCACAATAGACATATTTTAGTTTGTCCAAAATATGGAGCATGGCTTTATTGTCAAAGTTTGTATCAACTTTGATACTATAAATCTTTTTTGAAACTGCAATATCTTCAAGCATCTCAAGTATCTTTGTACCTAGGCCGCGCCCTTTTACACTTTTGTGGGTAGCAATCCGGTGAATAACTAGATAATCACCATTAGTTAACCATTTTCCTTCAAGATCATTGTATGCAGGTTCCACATCAAAGATTGCAGCTGCATATGCAATAACGATACCATTTTCGGTCAAAACATACCCATATTTATTTTTAATATCATTGGCCACAGTTTCAGTATTGGGATAACCATCTTGCCATTGATTGCTTCCATCAGCTTTTCTCTGAGCAATTGCTTGCTGAAGAATCTCCCATATTTTATCTTTATCAGATTCGTTGGCCAGACGAAACTCCATAAATGAATCATAAGAATGAAAAAGCTACAAAAGTTCTGTGAAGAATATATATCAATTCATTCCATTAGCCATAATTCTAACGATCGTCAAACTTTCTTCTGAATTATTAGAGAATAAGTAAAGGCCGTTATTTTGTCAAAAAAAAGTCATCCTGGGAAATTTGTTTCTACTATGCAGCCTTCTATTGCAAGTCTTATTGGGTTATTGACACGGACCTATAAATTAAAGTCCAGTATGAATCATTAAAACCACTGTATTTAAGATTTTGTCCAATTTAGAAGTTTGATATCTTCGAATTAAAAACAATATTGTTGTTTTTCATAATTACTGCTTCCAAACACATTAAAAATTTATTATAATAGTATTTGTGCAATCAAACATATAGATTAAAACTTAATATACTACATCAAAGTAATTTTTGCTCCGAGCTTCTTATTTTGCATAGTGCAGATACTTATACCATAGGAACTTATTGAGAAATAGTTCTTGATATTTGTGCAATTGAAAATAGCCAAGAAAGAGCTGAGATCAGACAAATTTCTTACCAGGAAGATAATAATGCAAAAGATCTTTTAGTGATATACAAGATATCAGATAAATCTGCATGATCTTTTAAAAAGAAACAATCAAAAAGTTTTTTTCTCTTCATATTTGATATTGATTTTTTTCATAGATAAAAAAGGAAAGTGTTATGCTATTTTTTTAAAGATAGAATTTTATAAATAACAAAATAAAGCTAACAAAACAAAATCTAATGCCACATCAAAGGAACATTCGAGTTATGTTTGAAATTCTTTTTTGATAAAGACAAAGAAATGTTCAAATCTTCATTACCTTGGCATACATATCTATCCATTACAAATAAGCAATGTCTATCATTATTGCATTTGCAATCTAATGAATCAAAAACACTTAACATTTCTTTTCGCTTTCCATACTCAAAAACAGGTCTAACTTCTAAATCATCACCATTAGGATATATTTCTGCGAACAACAGTTTTGTAACACGTGTTTTTGCTTTATTGTGTTTGGAGCATTGGACCAAAGATTCTCCAACTCTTTTTGCCTTTATAATTCCCATGTTTGAAATACTTAAAACACTTGTATTGGAAGATTTCCATTCAACTAAGTTCGAACAATATATTTCTCTCTTTCCTCCAACTAACAAATAATCTGGAACATCAATAAATGATTTGTAAACTGAAATCACTGTCTCTAACCTAAAATAATCATTGTAAACAACAACATTAGTATTATTACTCTTCATCTCATATCCGTCATCAATCTTCGTGACACTATCATTAAAGTTAGTAAAAGTGTCATTATAATCATCATAAAAAGTGCCAAAATTATGTATCAACTTGATAAATATCAAATTACTTTCTTGCTCAATGAAAATGTCACTTGGATATGTAACTGAGATTGTGACATTTTCAGTTTGACTTCCTCTCTGACATTCGGAATAAAAAGTGCCAACTTCTGTTGCTTTGAAGTATTGAGGGAAACAATAACCATTAGATTTCACGTAATGGGATGTTCCGATAGGAATACTCACGTATTTTTCGGTTTCTAACTTCTGATCGACGATGAAAGAAAGTGAGGTGAAGAAATCTAAAAATCTGACATTAATTGTAAACCGTCCTTCCTCAGAAAACTTCGTGTAAACTCTTCCTCCGATAACTTTGAAAGAGAAATCTCCTTTCCATTTTCCATCTGAAATAGAAATATTTCCTTTTTCTGTGACAGCAAAAACGCTGAAAACAGCCATATTTCCTACAATGAAAGTATCAGTTGAAGGCATAATCATCAAATCTGTTATTTTTGTGACTAACACATTGACATCGATGAAATCAATTTCATTTCCTTCAATGTAACATCTAATAGTTGTTGAACCACTGTTAACAGTATATAAATCATTTGTCATAATATCATTATTCATAGATTTGTATTTAACCAATTCTACTGGTCCTTTACTGAACTTTATTGATATAAATCTTCCTGGGAAAGTGACAATTTCTGATGGAGAAGCAAGTGTCAATTTTTCAAAAACGGTTATTTCTTTAACAAAAGAAATATCTCTGCATTTCGCAGTGATGAAATGTTTTCCTTCTGTCTCAGCGAAATATTGGTAAACTCCATTAACAACCATTTGATTGTCAACAGTTATATTAATACATGACAAAACAGAATGATGGAATTCTCTTCCTAATTCATCATATAATTTAATGACCATGTCAATTTTAGATCCAATTTGGCAAGTATCAGGACCTAAAATTACCAATTTATATGGTTGTGAATAAACTACTTTGATCTCTGTTCTAAACTCAGAGATACAATAATCTTGGACTAAAACTAAATTGTCAGAAATTCTTGTCAAGTTAAATTTGCCAGTCCCTCCTTTAATTTCTTCATTTGGAAATTCACAATTCTCCATAAGAACTAGTTCTTTCGATGATGTGATATTAAAGAGCGGTTTGACAATAATTGATGCTGACAAATTAAATTTCTTGTACTTAAATGTAACACTTTCATTTAGTGTTTTAGTTAATGGTGTAGAAACTTTTTTGCCACTTGACAAGAAACCGCTAATAACCGTTTTATTATCGATATAAACTACATTGAGTTTTTCATCGAAATAGTATATTGCAAGTGAAGGAATCCTGAAATATGGTACGTAAACTCTCCAATAACGCAAAAATCCCCAAGGATCACTTGTATTTGCTGATCGAATGAGTGAACAAGAAGGAGCATATTTCTGGTTTTCATCTGTCACAACTATAGCAATACGAGAAACTTTAATTACATCAACATCAATTTCTGTGGAATAATTTAAAGGAATTGGATTATTTTCCGTTGGATCATTGTAAACAATGAGTTTGCATGTACCATTAAATGTTTCATTAAAAGAAATAGAATGATTATATATTCTTATGCTTTCATTTCCACAATTTATGAAATAGTTTGGAGGTTCTGCATCTTCCCAGTGTTGTGGGCCATCAATTATCTCCAAATCAAAAGGAGTATCACAGAAACCTTTGATTTTTTGGATGCTTTTAAGTGGTTTAATTACAGAGAAAAGTTCTGTTGCATTTGATTCTCCGCATTGCATTTGTATTCTTGCAAATCCAGGAGAAATGCATTCGTAGTTAGAATCAATGACAGATTCATTCAAAGATCTGATTGAATCTGGTTTGAAGTAGCTAAAAACTTTTCCGGACATACTCAACGCGAAGAAAGTTATGTTTATTTTCTCTCCAACTTCCATCTCGAAACGAGTCATGTTAAACCTCGCGCTCAAAATGTCTTCAACTGATATCATTGCTGTTGCTTTGAGGCCATTGACTAGATTATCTTCTACAACTAAATTTGTGTCTCCTAAATTTATTGCTGTAATAAAACCATTTTCATCAACTTTTGCAATTTTTTCATTTTCAACTGAAAAAGTGAAATTTCCAGAACCATTTGTGATGTTGAAAGAGAATCCTGAATGCGAAATAGGAAGTAAACATTGCTCTGGATATATAGATATCTTTTTAACAAAGAAAACAGGAAAAGTGACACTGATATTTTCAAAAATATTTCCTTGAATTTCTGTAAAACCGTCAATTACATTTGTATAATTAAATATCGAGATTCTACCGTAAGGATGCTGGATTTTATTGTCAAATTTATCGTAAACATCAAATAATTCAAAATCAGGGTTTGTTCCTACTAAAACATGTTGTTTTTCTGCAATTGAATATTCAGGAAAAGTGACAAAAATTTCGGATGTCAAATAATTATGAGATAAGCTTGAGAATGTGATTTTCATTGTAGAACTGCCTATTTCTTTTGGTTTCAGCTTAATTTCTGAATTTTTGATTGAATATTCGACCACAGATTTATTTGTGACTTCTATTTTGAAATAAGAAGGATCAACTTTGGATATACATGTTTTATTAGACAAATTTGAGCTGCAAATCGAAATTGATGAAGGAGTATTAGTGACCAAATATACTTTTGTTGAATTAAGAAACATTGACTGATAAACTGTAATTTTGATGTTCTTTGAGAGTACATCTAGAACTTTGATGTTGAAATATATCTTGCCGATCGAATTTGTTGTAATGAAATATGAATTTTGTGGAAGAGTAATGTTTTTGTAGTAATCTTTGGATAAAGTTATCGACTTGTTTTCAGAAATGATACTAATCCATTCAAATGGAATAAAAGCATGAGGTTTTTTCTTGGAATCGCTTGTATAAATTTGTAAAAACTCAATTGATTGGTTAAGATATAAATATGGGGATGAAATGTGGGAGTGAACGTAATTTATTGTCGTAAACTTGATTTTAATATTGTCATCAAGGTTAGATGAGTTATGAACGGTAAGGATGCAAAAATCAGAAGAATTTATTACAGCAGTAACATTGATAACACATATCGAATGTGTTTCATTTTGATAATTGTCGACTATCGATGCAAGGGAAGAATTCGAAATCGAAAAAGAACAATTCGTATCATTATAAGGAAATTCATAAATGTAGTTTTCTTTGTAAGGGGGAATTAATGGCAATCGAATTGTTTTCGTCTTGACTGCTGCTAAGAAAAGTAAAAGATAAATTGGTAACATTTCAAAAAAATAAATGAATACATTTCACTTTTCGATATCAAATATTTGCCTTAAACTATTTAAAATTCACATTTAGACATTCCTTTGCAAAGACATTTTTTGAATCAATTCCAAGTTTATTCTTAATCCATTTTATAAGCAACTGCATTTCAAAAGACATAGTGAAAATCCTTTTGGTGGTAGCGTTGAATTAATGTTTGGAGGGAAATCAAATTTTATTATAATATTGATATAATTATAATCTTATCTTTAATAAAGTGAATGCAATAATATTTAGGATCTATACAAAAATATGTAATCGAAATTCTATTGATAAATGAAAGATTAGAAATTTCTTCAATGCGCTTCAATAAATTCAATCAACATTTAACTTTCGAACAGCTGATGGTTGAATTCCTAATGTAGTTGATTTTTCGCAATACACAATCTTATTCTATACTCCATGCATATATTTCATTAATAATCTTCATTTGTCAGGCATATCATTCCTTCACAATCAAATACAATTATTTCTAACATAGGCTTTTGTGATATTTACTTGTGAAGCCAAAATATCAGTAAAACAATAGAATTTATGTGCTCTGATCATTTTTACACGCTTCCAATTTTGGCAGAGAAAAAATCCAGAGTTCATAATAATTTGAAACATTATTTTGGATTTTACCCATGGAAAAAGCTTGAATTGTTTTTATATGTTTCACTTTCTATAACGTAATGAAAACCTTCAAAACTGACAGTTAAATTGAGAAAACCCATAGAATTGATTGAATGAGTCTATTTTTAAAGGTTTCTTTAAACACTTCTAGAAGAGAGCATCATCATATTCCTGGTTCAATGATAATAAGACATTAATATATAAAAATGCTTCTTCTGTTATTACACAACAAACAGAGAATATTGCTGAAACAGTTAATTTCTTCATTTATGGGAATGTCAAAGAAATCGGGGATAGTGCATTTGTAAATTATACTAGTCTTGTAAATTTATGTTTACCTGATTCTGTTGAAAAAGTTGGAAATTCCATAATCCAAAATACTAAAATCAGAATTTTTCATATTCCTTTATCCATGAATCAAATTCATGGAGCTGGCTCATTTGATTGGACATATTTTTTAGAAGAGTTCACAATTGATCCTGCAAATCAATATTTTTCCGTTGTAGATGGGATTCTTTATGATAAAAACATGAAAAAATTAATGACATTTCCAGCAGCTAAAAACATATCTGTATATACAATACCATATGGAGTTGAAGAAATATATGGATCGGCAACAAATTGCATTCGCTATGTTGAAAAATTTATTATACCACAGACTTTAATACGACCTTATTCTATTCTCTATGCTTCTACGAGTTTTAACATTAAAGTAATTGTTTTTAGATTCCCTGATCAAGATAAATCCACATTTCCAATTGAAGCTCATAACACATTCTTTGGAATGCCAAATTACTCAGTTGACAATATTACATTATGCAGAATACCATGATTCAGTCCAAAAAGTGATTATCAATGGATACAAACCCCATTCATTGGTTGAATATTCAGATCAATATTTCATAGATGTTGCAAACATTAATACAATCGAAATTGGAACTGGTATTTCTAAAATTAACCAAAACTCATTTAAGATATCACCAAGTGTTTCCTTTATTTTCAATTATAATATTCACACATTTATCCACCGAAAATGCTTTTCTTTTTCTTATATAAACTATGTTGTTTTTATTTCCATGTTTCTTTCATAAATAATCGATATCTTTCTTATTAATAGTACTATACAAGTATCCCTATGGATAGAAATATATTTATGTGGTTGAACATCTTATATTCAAGGTAAAAAAAAGATAAGAGCATATCAGAAATAACCTTAAAAGTACTTTTCTGAGAAGAGTCTATCGTCTAAGGACACCCTTAAACTAAATTGAGTGAATATGTTGTTAACTCAACAGGTGATACAATTAAATCGTTTGACAAAACCTATTCGGGGACAATTAAAATCACAACACAAACTTATAAAAGAATTGGAAATGATGCTTGTATAAGATGCAAAGCTACAGGTTTGGATCTAAGTATGTCATTAATAACAACAATTGATGTTACAGCGTTTGCTTACTCTTCCTTAGAAAATGTAATTTTTTCCCCAGTTACACAATCTTTAGGCTCAAATGCTTTTTGTGCGACCCCAATTATATCAGTGAACATTGTTGCATCAATAAAATCAATGACAGGAGTTACATTTAACCAATGTTATCGTCTGAACACGCTCACAGTAGATAAAGATAATCCTTATTTTTATTCCGAAAATAATTTTATTTTTACAAAAGGTGATAACAAATTGGTCCGAACTCCAATTACTTACTCAGTACCTGATATTCCAAATAAAGAAAATATTAAAACGCTTGGAGAGTTTTTTATGAGTGGATCTATCATAAAACAATTTATTGGTTGGCAAAATTTAACATCGATTGAACAATACACTTTTCATGCACATAGTTATCTCAAAACCGTAGATATATCAATGACTCAAATCAATGCATTGCCTGTTTTTTGTTTTTCTGGATGCGAAACATTAAACGATTTAAAGCTCCCAGGAAATTTGACAGAATTGGCAAGTAAATCTTTAAATAATTTGCCATTATTGAAATATATTTTTATTCCGATTAGAGTTTCAAGTATTGAAAATGGTGCATTTGATAGCATGAACAGTCTAAAGATAATAGTTTATCTTGGACAAATTTCATTTGAAAACAGAAATTTATTCAAAAATTGTCCTTTAATTAATACAGTCCGTGTTTCATATTTATATCCTTCTGATCTTTTTTGTAAGTATAGTGTTATAAGAGATGCCTATATATATTTAAATAATAGCTTCGTATGTCCTTCATTGGAAAACAAAAATATTCTCATTAATCGATTCTTTTCGATTACATTATATTCTGTTTTTATTTTAATGTAATGATAGCTTTTGAAATAACCTTAATAATAAAAAGTGACAAATAGAAAAAATAATTAAAATATTAACATACCTGTAACTAGAAATATTCTTTAGTTATAAGGTTTAATCTGCCAATAATATGAAATTATATTGAAAATTATCGGTTATATTGAATTCCCATATTTTATAATAAAATAAAAACATAAAGTACATGAATAGATAGAGAAGATAAAATACAAGTATTTCTCATTTGATGTGTACATTGGTGATATATTTTTAGATACAAATTTGGAATCGAAACACAGCTTAATGTACTATCCGTTCCAAAATAAATATCAAATTTAATTAAAATTTGATTAGAAACCTCTGCAGATTTTAGATTTGTATTTTCAAAATAACAATCATTGAAAATCATATATCCGCCTGTATAATTTATTGAAAATGTATCACAAACATTATCAATGAAAATAGAATTAAAAACAGAAAGGTTACATGGGGAAAGATTAATGCACAATACACACAGTGGAACTGTATTGTTAGACATTGAAAAGTAATTCAAATTAAAGTAATGATTTCTTAGCTCAATACAACTAGTTTCACCTCTTAATGATTCATAAATGCAGAATGAAGAATTTCCATATCCATTATCATATACTCCTCCAGCATATGATGAACACAATGATTTGGTAACATTTACATAATTTAGACTTGTCCTTGGTTGGCTTAATACATAATTAGCATGGCGTTTGGATAAAAGACCATTTTCACTTATTGTAGATCTATTAAATTCAAAAGAATATGTAGAATACATGTTGATAAAATGTGCATGGTTCCACGAATTACAAGAAATGCCACATGTTTTATCTAATAAAATATTACCGAGTTGTGTTCGTATTGATAAAGCCCCTCCATATTCAGTTACAGAAGAAGAGTTGAAAAAGTAATCTTGAATTATATTAACGATAGATTCTTTTCCAATACAGAAATCACAACGGATTGTGAATTAAAATTTTCAAAAATACAATTTGACAAAGATATTTCATTTATTCCACTGATTTGAAATTTATATTTCCTATATTGAAATTCCTTTGATATCATCTTAAAACATAATTAAGAACTCAATTAATCAAATTTCAAATTTTTGATGTCATCTAAATGCCTTTGGATTTAGAAGATGATTGGATATTATGCGACAACTCAATGCATTATATGGAAAATATAGAATGATAAAATTTTGATAATTGACACTTTTAACATTAACCTTATTTGCTATGTAAACTTACAGTTCACACATATTGAAATGATACCAATTAAATCGATAATAACTTTATCGATATTTTTCGATTTACAAAACAAACAAACGGAAGTTCGATAAAGTAAGCAATATGTTAATCATCAATGCTTACTTAAATTAAACGGGCTTAGTTTCCCAAAAAATTCTGAGAGAGGGTCAAAGTTGCTATTTGTCACTTTTCCACAAGAATATAATGGGGAAAAAGTTATCATATAGTTGATCTCATTCACTGAGGGGAGAGATGCATGTAGTGTAATGGGATAAACAGTGGGATTTCTGCTCTAAGTCCTAGGTTCGAGACACATTGGCTTCATTTTTCTCTTTTTTATTGACGTAAACTATTCAATTTTTGTGTTCTCCATTCAAATTTCAGAATTTTTTTTGCAGATTTCACGCTACATTCGAAGTTACCTTTTGTAACAACCACCACCGCCTACGAAAGACGAAAGTGTGTCACGATTTCACCCGGAAATCCGACGGTTGTTTAAGAGTAAGCACTTTTGTCACCTACTCAAAAAATTCTTAATTAATATAATCTAATCGTTCCAGATATTGTCTCTAAATAAACAGGATATTTTTAATCATTTTTCAGCATGTTAGAATTAATGCATTATTAGTAGTATATGTGAACGGGTTTAGTGACTTTTTTTGTTACGTCTATATATAGATGAAGGTATATTTTCACATCTTCTATATATATATGATATAAAATTTTTTTCTTACGTTTTTTAAGTCATGAATTCGTAAGAAAGTGTGACATTATTAAATAA